AACCTTATTTAGTCCTAGTTTACAGTAGAGAAGAAGAAGAAGAAGAAGAAGAAGAAGAAGAAGGGTCGACAAGTAGAGGAAAAATCAGTCCTCTCTCTAGTCGACCCACTTGTATTTATCTCCAATAACATAGTTACAAGAAAGACCATATTGTCCCTCATAAGTGATGGGACACATAACTTAAACTTAGATAAAACAGACCTTTCACTCTCAAATAGATAAACCCAAATGACCAAAATACCCCTGTTTTTTTGTGTACTCTAACAATGTGAAACAGAATGTTTGAACACTGAAAATAAAGGGCCTAAAATGGTCATTCTCAATGCAGGTCCTAGGTATCTAGGGTCTTGGGAGGCTTGGACTGGATGCTGAAATTGAAGTTTGAAATGAAAATTATATTTTAGGATCCTGATTGATAAATGATAGTGATATTGAGCCTTCTGTTTTTTTCCTCTTTTTTGCATAATGTTCATGTGGACTCTGGACAAATGCTTTAAATCTGAGATTCATCAACTAAGTCCAGTAAAGCTGCTGGTAGATTAGATTATGGTTGGTATACAATCTGGTTAGGATGGATTCAATTCCTAGTAGTGATTCATTAAATGTTATGACACGGTATACTACTACTATCAGAGATTGATGAGCACATGTTAACTTTAAGTGTAATTTGTAAATTTGCAAGTGGAAAATTTTAAGTAAATACTTATTATCTTATTTAGTTTAAGTCAAGGTTCTAAATATCGATACAGGCTGATACGTTGGATGGGGCATATCTGCCTGTATCTTTGGCTGCCTTTTATTTTTATTATTTTTCAAATTGGTTCAGGGGGTCAGTTTAAGGCCTGTCTACACAGTGATTTAAAAGGTGCACCTAAGCGCACAAGTGAGGCACATTTTAGGATATGCGTCTTGCATAGGTCCTAGGCACGTGCCTGGTGCACCTTGCATTTCAGCCTAGGCGTGTGCCCTTTGAAAATCTGTGCATTTTTTTTTCTATTTTTCGTATCACTGAAGCTTTGAAAATCCATATTTGCTAATGTTGCTTATTCATTTATCCTAATAAAAGACATTTTAAAAGACACTTAAAGTTATAAAACCTTTTTTTATAGGGATTAAGAATTTAAGACCCTAATATGGAATTGTTTGGGCTTGCCTCGAGGGGTTTGGTACAAAGGCAGCTTGTAGAATTAGGAATACATAATTTTTAACATCAGTTTAGCTATTTGATGAAATGCAAGTAGGAGAAAAAAGAGAGTAAGAGTTTACATGCTTGAATATGTTTTATATATTATGCTTGATTTTATTTTTAAATTTTCATTTTAAATGTGCTTTACATGTTATTTTTATGTATTTTAATATGAGATAAAAGGTTTTTTAAAGCATTTATTTTAAAATTTAAGTTTATATTTTTTAATTAATAATGTGTTTAATATTTTTAATATTTTGCAGCTTTTGAATTTTTTAGATTTTTTTTTTTTTGCATTTTTGTGCCTTGCTTCAAAAAGGCACGCACCTCGCCTTGCGCCTTGTGCTTGAGCACAAAATGGTCCTTGCGCTTTTTCTTTGTGCCTTGTGCTTTTAAAACACTGCATCTATCCCCCCTGAAACAGGTCAGACCCCGAAACACTCATGTAGGGGTGTATTGGAGGGTCACTGATATGATATGTATTGGCCGATATGCCCTGATATGTTGTGAAATTTTAATCCTTGGTTTAAGTGTTTGCTATAATCAGAAAGATGAAGGCTTGGAACTTACAATGCATTGTTATTTAACTTTGTGTTATTCAAATCTGATCAGATTTGCACCCAAATCCTAGATTCTTAGATTCTTCAGATGATTCAGATCTTGATCAAGTCTAGTTCTTGTAAGTGTATGAATGGATTGAATTTGTAAATAAAATGGCTTATAGGAAATGGAAACATGGTTCTCTATGACTAGGTATGATTAAAAATAAAGAACAACAAGTACAGAAAATAGAGAAGAAAGTTTAGAAAGCAAATGGTCCATTCTGTGGTATATCAGAAATGCTCTTTTGTGGGTCTTTCAGTTGTGGGGGTTCTGGAAAATAGAAATTCAGCTACAGGATATGTATCTCTTCTAAAAGGAGGACCTACAAGATAGAAATTAATGCTACAGTCAACAGTCCACAACTGTTTGTAGAGTATACAGCAACTAGAGCAACTAAGAAAGCATTATAGTTGAATGAATTGACAAGAGATGGTTTGAAGAAAGGTGATGTTAAAGTTACACTGTGACAATCAAAGTGCAATGCATCTAGCAAAGCATGAAGTGTATCATACAAGAAGTGAACACATTGATGTGAGGTTCCACAAGATATGAAGTTGATTGTGACATGTAAAATATTCTTTGACAAGGTTCATATGCGTGACAATGCAACTGATGTGGACACTGCCGATTGTCCACCGTAATGGTAAAACCTTGGTACACTAAATATCGTCTTATGATTCTTGAAAATCTTTGTATATATGTGTGCGCTTTTAACTATTTATCAAATTTAAATTATATTGTAGATAGGGACCATTGTCCACCGTAATGGTAAAACCTTGGGCTGATAAGAATGAGAAGTTAGGTTTGAGTGTGAGAGAGGCCACTTTGTATAAAAAAGTGCCAATGGCTACTTGGCTAGGTTCACATCCAGTCCACCCCTCCCAAGACCCCAAATAGTTGGGACCAACACTAGGTAATAGCCTTTATCAAAGCTGAATACTTGAATTATGTTGTAGATGCTAATTATGGTATCAAGGAAACTTTATGAAATCTATTTTAATCTGTCAGAGTATGCTATATATTGCTGCTGATGTTTTCAATTCTAATCTTTTTTTTTTTTTGATACCTTTTCAATTTTAATCTTTTTATGTAGCATCAATGACACGGTTGCAATATTTAGTGGGGTTGATTTTGAGAATGTTTCTCTGATCCAACATAATAATCAGACTGGTAGATGGCTGTCCTCCTTCAGGTATGGCTTTGTTTAACTGAGTGCCAATATGATTAATTGCCTTGTCTAAACTGCATGCTTAGTTTAAGTCATGGTGTTGCTTTTTATATGATTTCTGATGGTCTTTGATGAATATAGCAGTAATTTCTCGTTGTTTATCAGCTTAGCTAAATCACTTGTATTGCTAAAGTTATTTTTAAGTGATCTCAGGTTGTTTTTTTAGTCTAATCTGACCAAGGTTTAGATAAACGTTCAAAAACTTCCAAGCTTACATGCTTTTGAATTTTAGCTTATGTTTTCCATTCTCATCACGACCAGGTTTGGTTGAAGTAATAGCATTACTGTACTTATGCCTTTTCTTTAGCTTCGTTTAGATCAATACAGAATGATCTTTTACATCTCCACTCTCTTAGATATTATCAATAGGAAGAATGATGAAGATGCCTTCTATTACCCATGCTTACAAACATCTATGAACTTGGGCAAAACATGAGTACTAAAAAGTTCTATGTAAAATCATCAACTTTCTTGGTATGTTTGCATATAAAATGCTAAGTTTACTTGTATTGGAATGGTAAGATTTTATTGCCTTTTAGACATTGCTAAAAAGCTAAAGTGTTTAGTGTGAGGTTTGCACAACTTGCTAACTATGACTCTGACGTGTTAATATGGTAATTCATTGTGAATTGATGTCACAACTTTGGTCCAATACTTGTCATCTATTATGGGTATAATGCACTGTTGTGTCCCTCGAGAGGACTGCATAAGAAGAAAAGGAAAATGAATTGGATGATATAGGACTGTAGTCCATTAGACCATATAGGGTTTCTGCCTATAATTTTTTAAAAAGATTGGATAATCTGTGGATACTTGGGATGGTCTTATTGAAAACTTAGACCAGAAAGTGACCATTTAACTCCAAAAAGAATTGGTACTTGCAACACTGTAGAGGAGAACTTTACCCAAGTCTTATGGACAACATTTGACCCAATGAGGTGAGCAATATACTTGACATTGTAAAAGATCTGGACCTTACCCTATCTATAATCCAGCATACATCATCTTATGAACTGTGGGGCCATTACTTGATGCAATGATAAAATCTTGGACTGACAAGCATAAGAATGTGGGTTTTAGTATGACAACATCCACTTTATGTAAAAAATGCCAAAGGTTAGGTCTGTATCCAGTCCACCCCTTCCAAGACCCCGAATAGCTAGGAGCCTAGTACCAACATTGGGTAATGGTCCTTGTGCATGTGTTTGTGTACACTGTAAGATAGTAAGACTAGGGATGAGCATAGAAAGGTAATAATTAGCTACATGAACCTAGAAAGGTAGTAGTTAGGTAGGATAGAGTATAGGGATGATTTTAAAACTACATGTATAGATTAGCTAGGTAGGAAGGATCTCAGGGCTTGTAAGAAAATTTTTCCTCAAAATGCTGAATACTTTTAAACGAGGAAATAAGTCTAGGATTGGATTTTTCAATAAAATTTTTGGTAGGTTTTGGAGTATGTCTTGAACAAACTACAAATTGATGGGGTCTGCTCCTCACAAATGAGCGCCTCACAGGCACATCCACCATGCATTGGGAACATCTCCCGTGAATAATAACTAATAAGTACGGGAGATGTTCCCAGTGCATGATCGGATGTGCGTGTGAGGCACGAGGTGTGAGGAGCAGATCCAGTCTCTTGAACAAAAGGATGAAAATACTATATTGTATTAAATATGGAAACAATTGAAGATGATTTTGGCACAAAAGGACGGAAATGGTTAGAATGGAAAAATCTGGGCACAATTGAAGACGAAGTTTTAGTCCTTTGAGAATATTGAATTATCACCTTTAATCGTGTCTGTTTATGGTTATAATGGCTGTTTGCATGATTAAAGAGAAGATAGAATGGCTTTGATGGCTGTTGATGTAACTGCAGGCTCTAGGATACTGTCTGAATAGCTCAATCTGGTGGGTCCCTAGGACTACAAATGTATTGGCCAATACTCTAAACAGGGTGACCAAGGAAAATTTTGTATGGGGAAAACTAGGGCTGGGGACAGATTTTTAAAACTTTTTAGTCAAGTATTTATTGGTCTTATTTCTTCCTATTATTCAGCTTATTGGCTGGTAAGGTTTTTGAGTGAATAAAATTCTACTGTTACTTATCAAATATAGTGGGACCAACATATAGGATATCCATTGCTGTAATTTTTCTAACGGACCTTTGTCCTGCTTTGTGACCCCCATGTCTATCCATGTCTACACCTAGATCAGATGTCAGTAATGCAACTACTGTTTATGAAAACGTATGTGGGCCGAATGCTTGGAATGACATTTATGAAACTTCCTGAGATCTTGTTTTTATTAATGGTTGCTTTTGTTTCATTTGGTTTGTGCAGAGCAATATGGGGTTGGGATGATTCTTATCTCTTCATTGGCAATATGAATAGGGGAGTTGATGTTATCTCCACCATCCAAAGGAGAATAACACAGACTTTAGTGAGCCCAGACATGTCTGCAATTCCATGTCGGTTTGCTGTACACCCATACCAGGTTGGGGCATTGGCAGGAGCGACAAGTGGGGGACAGGTTTATATGTGGACACCAAGTTAGGAAAATTTAAGAATTAAGATGCTCTTTATAGCAGAATCTGCAATCTCAGAGCGGGTGGAGTGACGTACATTTTTTGTGCAATTTACGCCACATTTTTGTGCAATTTCCCCATTACAGAGCAAGATCTCATTTATGTAAATGTGCAAGAGCAAAGACTTTCTTTCTGGTAAATTTGCAACTGGGAGTCAGAGACCATCTACGTCACTTGTATAATTATTTTGTCAATATTTGATAAACTTGCACTTCTTTAGAAATCGTGTTACTATTCTAGCAGAATCAGCTAAACTGTTGTGAGAAGAAATGCTTTAGAACCAAGGATCAAAATATCGATATTATATGTCCGACACAATGACACAGAAGGGGTTATGGAGATGCACTAAAGATTTGGGCTTTTCAAAGTTTGGGATGATGGAAGGCATCCCTCTCAAATTGTTGAAATAATAAAAAGGTATTGATCTGTATTGATACAATAATATGCTATACCTACGGTGTTGGCATCCACCGGATTGATGTTTTCATCCTTGTTTAGAAATTAAAACCTGCGGCTGATAAATTTGCATTGGCTCTCCACGCAGTGTGCCCCCGCACCACATCCTAACTGAGAGTTCACATCTGCACCCCAAAGAGGGCATCGCACAAATGCCCCACATCACATCTCAACTGTGTATTGAAATATCTCCCAATGACAAATAAAAGAGATGTTTTCAATGCACGCTGAGATGTGCATGTGGGGCGTTTATAGGGTGCAGATGTGAATTCCCAACTGAAACTGGATTTGGACCTCACACTATACACAGTACATCTCCTTATGACAAGTGTGGGAAATGTTTTCAATGTACATTGAGATGCGCTGTGGGGCACATGTGGGGTGTGTCTGGTGGGGAGTTAATCCCAACATTCAGCTGATTTGACTGATGAAACTGCATGAAATCTTGTTGGTGAAAATTTTTTGATAAATGGTTCTCATGTACCAAACATCTTCACAGCTTCTTGATTAGAGGGGAAAGAAAAAGCCATGCATCGTGGCACTAGAAAAGTAATGAAATGGGTAGAACAGATGGAAAGGGTAAAACGTAACCCTACCATTCTTTAGACTCTACAATCAGCATAAATAATAAAACAATGTT